GCCCCCAGAAAGCCCAAGATACAGTGACAGTTAGAAAATTAATAGCAAGTAAGAGCGTGCCAGGTACACTGCATGTTTCTTATCACAACCAATTCCAAGAGGCAACCTTCCTTGAAGTTCCAGCCTCAACCCACAGAGGATCTCACGCGGGCTTCACTGGAGATGGCGTGACAGCCCTGTAATTAAGAAAAGGTAGTTTTCATTTAAAATACATATGTATTTCTACAATATTAATTCAAGTAGGTTAAAAGTCCCCCAAAATCAAGGTGACTAGGTTGCTGTGACAGACAGTCTCGGGGTGAGGCCTATTCAAAACCCATTGGGCATCAGTAACATCTCAAAGCCTAAGATGTCACAAAGGAAGCTGTGACCATTGAGGGGCAGAAGCTGAGAGGAGGCAGGACTGAATGTTGAGTGTCTTCAGAGACCCAGTCCAGCCGGGAAACCAAGCAGAGCCTACAGGAGCCTAATATATCAAACCATCATGTTGGGGAAGAAGAACCAAGAAAATTTCTGCAGCGACAACGAGCAGATTTAAGATCCTTCTTCTAGGCCCGAGGTAGAGGTTCCTGTAAGCTCGGTGTATCGCCTACTGCAGGAAGAGAAGTATACTCCTTGCCTAGGTTCCACCACTTCAGATTTTCTCCTTGCCGTGCTCGACTGCCTTACTGACTATATCCTGGAGGTGGTGAGCTCTGAAGCCAACAACAACAATCAGCCAAATGTTCCACAAGATGGGGAGGGACAAGCCGTCAATGATCGTGAGCCATCTAATGCCTTCAAGAATGCACCATTCTCTCTGTTTGATGAGATGCCCGGACCCAGAAGGAATGGCTAAAGACTGGTGTATAGAACCCAGAGGAAGTCTCACAGACTCAACTAGGACCACAATGGCTAATAGAAGAGGAGGCTTCCCTGGTGTCATGGAATGCTAATAAAGCTTTTAAATGAATGCTCGTGGTTCTGACTCTTGACAGCTCATCGTTCTGAGTCAGGAGGTGTCCATAAAACACTGAAGAGAGGGTGAAGAGTAGCAGTGGGTATTTAAATCTGTGATTTCTAGGGAGCACTTTCCAATGGGCATGACTTGGGTAGTGACCTTGGTGGGAGAAAGTGGGTGGAGGGAGGGCAGAGAAGGCTCCCTAGTTGACTCCGAGTAAAGAAGGAGGCGTGGGGGTGAGGGAGGGGCCTGGAAATTTGACTGGGGCTTCACAGGCAAGTTGGAGTTCAGCATGGTAACTCATGAGACACTAATGTGATGGGACATTTTATGTGGAAGACTTCATTCATGGGAGGGAAGGTCTCAAGTCACAAGGAAATGGGTGTGTGGTAGATAGTTACACACTGTAGCAGTGAGTTTAATGGGATAGGGACATGGAGTGATGATGAAACCAGAAAGAAATATGCACTTAAAAAGAAGTAAAATGTTTAATCTGATTTTAGGAGGTACCTTTCTAGATATCTCTGTGATTTATAGAAGTCCAGTTGCTTTTGGGTGAAACACAACAGGCAATCAAGGTCTCCTCCTAGACCCTTAGTCTCTTAGAGGTCTCACTAACAGGGAATCAATCAAAGTCCAACCTCTAAATTTCACCTCAGAGACCGGTGACCACCTGACCTTATAGATGTCCAGTATGTTTAATCCATCTACTATGGCTTCTGCAACCTTATGGTACTTCTGCAATGCTGCCCTAAAATGTACTCAGAGGACTGTGTTTGGTTCTATCTACAATAAACCACAGCCATAGGACAAAAATCAGCCTTCTTACATCTGAAAGCTATTTAACCCCTGGACAAGTCTAATGACTAATTCCCTGACATCTCCAGTATTCCTATGGGGGAAATTTCATATTCAAACTGTAACATGTCTATCAGTGACCAAGAGTTTACAGAAAGATGTATAAACCTTCAAAGACAATGCTACAATCAGAGAATCTAGAATAGTTTGTTAAAGTAAGATGCAAGGTTTTAACTGAAAAACAAATTTTGTCGTACTGTTCAAATAAAGTAGAATTATTGTCCTGAAAAAGAGGATGTATTCACTACAGTGAGCAGTTGCCTAACATGGCCATTTCTAGACTGAAGGAGGACCAGAGCTCTCAGTTGGACACCAATGACATCACAAGCCTAGGTTGTGACAAGGTCCTTTCCTGACTAACCAGAGCAGGCATGGCATCAAAGCTGATGTTTTGAGAGACCCAGGCCAGAAGCTGAGTTGAGCTACACCCATCAAACGAGCACAATGGCTGGGAAAAGGCGAAGACAGAACATATCCTGCTCCACAAGGCGAAGATAGAACATATCCCGCTCTACAAGAGCCGAACTGCAATTTCCCGTTAGCCGTGTAGACCGCTTCCTGCAAGAGGGAAACTACGCCCAGCGTCTGATCGCGTCTGCACTTGTGTTCTTCGCTAGTGCACTGGAGTACCTGACTTCCAACATCCTGGACCCAGCTGGGGAGGAAGCCCACAGCAACCACAGGAAGCGCATCTCCCCAGAGCACGTTCTTCGGGGAGTACAGAAAAACCAACAGCTCCTGCAACTCATCGAAGATAACCCCAGATCTCTGGCTGCTGAAACACCAGATCCCTATGAAAACGGATGATGCCTGAGTCTCAGAGGCTGGAGGGCCATCTCTTTCTTCAGCCTCATCCAGCCCCAGTGTCCCTCGAGCTGGGGTCATTAATCAGACATGATATTAAATCATCTAAATGCATGCCAATGGTCTGATGCCTTTTAGTTTGTCATTTTAGCTAGAGGTGGTCATGAGATACGCAGGAAGGGGTGGAGGGATGGAAGCTGTTGTCAGCATGTGGCATTTGAACCCTTATTCCCAGAAAGAAGTTCCAAATGGGGATGGTGTGGGCAGTGGCCCTGGTGGGAGGATATGGCTGAGGGAAAAGGTAGAGAAGGCATCCTGTTGGCCTGTGAGCATGGAGGATGGTCTGGACAGGTTGGGGAAGACCATGGAGGAGACTGGCACAGTGAGCTTAACTGGGTCAGCAGTCTTTACATGGTCACTGAGGAGTGATGGTAAAACCAAGATATACACAAAATAGCAACTATGGTCTCTGGATTCCTTTATAATTTTTTAATACTCTGCTTCATTTTAAAAGAGAAATTACACAGAGATTAGTAGCTAGTGCTGACATAATCTGAGCAGAACATATCTTTCTGTCCTCGTGTGCACACTGATAAATAACAGTACATAAATGCTACTGTTTGACCTCAGGAATGCAATTTAAGTGGCTCTAAATGGTTACTGAGCTTTTATGAATACATTCAATTATGTACACAGTTTTCAAAGCTATTCTCAGAAGAAAGGCTTGGGTTGCCAGTGATGTTGTATGACATAGAAAAATGCAGCCCTGGCAGAGACCGAGGCCATGTTTAGAGAGTGTGTTTGTACTTTGCATAAATTTGGTGCCTGTTTGAAAGTACGTGGGATTCTTATTAACTCTTTCAAGTTCTGATTTCAGTCAGTAGTGAAATCCACATCCAGTGTGGTGACAATCTGTTCTCCTGCCTGTGAGTGTCTACATTTGAGGTTTTCACTGTTGGTCGGATCCTGGAGGGTCATCCTCTGCTGCCGCTGGCCTTGTCACACAGGCTGCCCAGAGGCTGCGCAGTCAGCTTCCATGACAGAATCAGAGGACCTCAGTTCCAAGTCCCAGTGTATTACGTTTTAGATATCCCCTCCCCTGTTTCCTCTGGGCAACGACTTCATCAGCTATTGATGGGCGATTAAGAATCCCCCAGTCTTTGATTTCCCAAATGTAATACCATTTGTACCTATAGTTGGCTGCTTCACACAGCACAGGATGCAGAGTAACTCATGATAACTAAGAACATGTGTCTCCTTCCCTGTATCCACATGCTCAGGCTGATTCCCCTTGTTGAAACTGAGCCTGGGGCTACTGGTTATGATGAGCTCCCCCTGTTGTACCTTGGCATGGGAGAGGAGACTGCCATGCAGAGGATGGAGGGAAGAGGAGTAGGGCACATCAAACAGGTGAATAGGTCACAGTCTGGTCTCTCTGCTCTTTCTGTCTGGTACCTCCGTCTGTCTGGCTCATTGGAAGCAGCAAAACCTGGCTTGGACTTGGTACATTCATAGGAGTATCCTGAGAATGAAGGAAACTGCCGGGGTTGTGCTTATGGCTCTGGAAGATGTGCTTGCAAAAATCCAAGAAAGCTTTGTTGATACAAAATGCCCACTGATCTTTGTCTATACAGAAAGCATACTGTCAAGATTTCTATTATATATATTCATATAAAGTCTTGACACATGCTTTCTTTTTTTAAAGTTTACAGAACTTCTGTTTATTCTTTAATTTTTTGAAATTATATAAAAGTACTTAGTTTCATTATGGCATTTTCAAACAACTGATTTTTGTTGATCCTCGCCCCCATCTGCCTCTTCTCCTGCATGGCCTGCACCTGCTTGTACTGTTGTACCTCCTGTAGTCTTCCCTCAGCCATGAAGTACTCTTTAAACTCATATGTTCCTCCTCTGTTTATTCCTCTAGCAATGTTGCGTCTGCCCAGCAACCACAGGTGCAGGGATCGCTTCCCAAATCACATGTTGGAGATATGTTAACCCTCTCCCTTCCCTGCAGTGAAGCATCTCTGTATCCAATAGTCCTGGATTTCTTTTAGTCCAGTGACCTTCAGTATGACTATCTCTACATTGCACAATGCCAGGGCATTAATCATACTCAGACCACTGTCCTCAAAGAATGCTCTTGGTCAGAAGCATATCTAGTTCTCAGGCCTAGAGTACCAGGTTGTGTTAACATCTGCCTGGTTTTTAAAAGTTCTTCATTTATTTGGCTATGAATGTGGCTTATTGTAATCTAAAAGCTAGCCCCTGGGTGTGCCACAGGACAGCATGGCAGAGCATGGCTTAGTATGGAAAAATCTCTGGTAGATGGGCCTGACACAACAGAAGAACAGCAATTTGTGATCAGGTGATCACGTTATATTCCATTCAGTAGTGTAAGGATTCTGGCTTCCTCGTCTGTCACAGACTGTTTCCTATCTGGGCATGACTTGGAGACTGGATCTGGTTCTACATTGTTTGGAAAAGACTTTGCAGAGTCAAGGGGCCTGAGAGGATCAGCAAGGATACTACCCTCCCCTTGTGCATTGTTCTTAGCTGTGCCTGTGGGTTTCATTGGCAACATAAGGCCCATAAGCAGCATAGCAAAAGCCTAATACAGGCCCTGCCAAATTCCCTTCCACAGGTGCAAGCAATCCTCCTCTGAGGGGAGGAAATGAGTCTGTGTGGGCCGTGCTGTCCTTAGGAAAGCATCAGCCCACTCAAGTGTGGGCCCTTTATGCCTTTACAGGAGGTAGAAAGGAGAAACGATGAGGAAGGACTCTACAGTTTGGACCCTTGGAGAGAATGCCAGTGCCTGTTGGCAGGTGGTTCAATTAAATACTAGAGAGAGGTTCATGTTGTAGCCTCCGTGTTTACTAACAGACTTCCAAACAGGTCTGTGATCATATCAGTGGCAAGGCTGGGATATGACATGACTCAAGTTAGCATACAATATCATCTGTAAGGCTTGATTCACCCAGCCAGACATGATGGTACAGACCTGTAACTGTGGCACCTGGGAGGTGGACACAGGAGAATAAGTCATTCAGAGAAATCCTCAGCTATGTAGCATGTTGGGAGCCAGACAGGGGCTTCTTGAGAACTTGTCTCAAAAACCGAAAATAAACAAATAACTGAAAAAAAGAAACCAAGCAAGCAAACAGCAATACAAAACCAGGAATTGATGGGGCTAACAGTTGAACCTGGCAGGAAATTGGAGGGTTAGAGTTGTTAAT